AAAAAGGAGTGCTTTTGGAAAAGAATTGTTCTGCCAGTGCCTCCTCCCATCCCTCCTGTTGCTGTCCAGCTGATATATTGGTCTTCATCATGATACGTTCCAAATCAATGCTGCTGCTTCTGGTGTCGGGGAAAGAGGCCAAGACCTCATAGCATAGCGAGGGACTCCAGCACATTAAAATCAGCCCAGTTATGGTTGGTATATCAATACCCAAGTAGAACAGCCCAGGACTGTATGACTTTATGCCCATTTTCTGTCATGCTATGAGGTAAAATATAAATAGCCATCCCCATCCCCACTTACATGTGACTCATTCAGGGGAGGCCAAGAAATATAGCACGGTCACTTCACAATGCTATCACAAAGCTAGCCCCGTGCAGCCGAGCACGGCCCGGCAGAAAGCGGTCTGTATAGGAAAGGCGTTTCCAAGTTACCCAGGAGGCACTTGTGGTTCTTTATTTTGCTTGTGCCCTTGATCCCTTTGTATCTGTGAACCCCAAAGCTCACTCTCGGGCAGCCTCTAGCCACTGCCATTCTGTCGGTGCCCTGGGTATCACTCACCTCTCAGCCCCACCTCCTTGAGCCCCTCTGGTCCTCTGACACCTCCGTGGAGACAATGGCACCAAGAGGCCTCAGGAAGGTCAGGCCGCTTCCAGACTGGAGCCTGTCTGGTCACAGTGCCACAAGCCGGGCTTGTCTCCTCCCCGCCGTTCCTGCCTGGCGGCTCCCGAGCAGCAGCTTCCCCGTGGGGGGATGTAGCTAGCACAAGCTCTGCGGCCTGGGCTCTGTGGAGGGTTCCAGGGGTCCCTGCCTCCCCGTACGCTGTGTTTGCCAGTTCTGCGGCACGGCGCCAACTTGCAGTCCGACCTGTCGAGGATGCTGTGATTGATCCTGGAGCGGAAGGCTGGGAATGCTAATGTGAGCTGTTGTTTTAAATGAAGGATAGCGGAGAGATCAAAATATTTGTACAGTGCCATGTGTTTGTCTCAGGCTGGTGAGTTCTGATGTGTCTGCTTTTGAACATGGGTTGGGTGGCGAGGGAAATATACCAGCTGGATGGGAAAGGAGAGAGGAAATGTAAGGCAATGTGGAGCTTGCCTCATAAATTGTTTCCTCGCTTTGCGCCAGGGGTGGAGAACCTTTTGTGGGTCAAGGGCCAGTGACCCACAGAAAAATCAGTCGGGGGCTGCACACAAGTGAGAAGCAAAAAATCCCCAAACAACCCTCACTGATGTGGCCCCTGACTGAGAAGGAGAAAGACCATCCCCACATTCCCCTCACACACCAGAGCCTAGGGGCACCCAGGCTAGTAGATGCTGTATGCTCCAGCTCTGCAAGGGTGCAGGCAAGGCTCTGGGGCTGGATCCTGGCAAGCTCAGGGCCACATCCAGCCTTGGGCCTTAGGTTCCCCACCCCTGCTTTAGGCGGTGAGTAATGAATGATGGAACACAGAAGAGACACTGTGCATGGCATTGCACACCGGGGATTGCACTGTGATTAGAGTCTTGCTGACGTTCTCAGGGTTCTTAAACCAGACCTTGATGCGTGCAATGGGCTATACAGTGACATTAAAGACCCATCATTTTAAAGCCAACCGAAGGAAAGAGAACTTTGTGGAGTTCACTGTCTGCCTGAATGTAATTCATTGCATCAGAGGATCACTGAAACAAACACAGGGCTGCTTAATATCATGACGGTTACATGCATTTGCGGCAATGTTTGATACCCATAATAAGTATAAATAAATATCCTTTTTCAAGGCATTAGCTGACCTGAAGGGGAGGAAGGGAGAAACATTTCTTCATGAACATCATTATGAATGATTAAAGAATGGGGGAAAAAATCCTTGTAATCCTTCTCTTTGTCTTTTGTTCTCCCTCCCTGTCTCTGCAGATGCTTGTCCTTCGGTTACGGGACAGCGTAATAAAGATGGGAGAGGAACTGGAAAAGGCTGCAGAGCCAGAGGCTGGAGAGAAGGAGAACACCAAGTATTACCAGATGCGCATGGAGGAGATGAAAGCAGATATGAATGAGCTGGTGCAGAGAGAGCTGGAAGCCAGTCGCAGGCGGGTGGAGCTGGTAAGGAGAGGCCGGAGCTATCATATAAGGGCATTGCCTTGTGTCAGGTGCCAATGACTCTCCTGGGCTGGAGTGCTGGGAAGGGCTAATTGCAGTATTAGGAGCTCTTTATGCCTCGTGGATGTAGCCCATTTTTTTTCAGATAATCAAGTATGGTTAACTGCTGTACCAGTTCTTTGCTGTTCTCAGGTATCTCTCACTTGGATGCTTGAATACTTGACTGGATTTATTCTATTCTTGCATTACCTTTTAGTGGTTAGTTAGAACATAATGGCTGGAGTATGTTGCCAGGGTGGTACATGGGAAGCAGAGACATGCATGACTTGCCATGGCAGATGGAAGTTTAATTCATTCTGCCTGCGTCTTGGGGCAGTCTAGACATAAACCAATTTCTATCCAGCAGTCTCTCCAGTGTGTGATGCTGCTGCTGCTGTGCTATGAAAGCTAATAGTTGGTACATATTATAACAGTATACACTGGGGGGATACTGCAATGCTGGAAAATAAATTATGTCCTGAGTTGTGCTAACTAATTGGACCTAGCCAGTTAGCTCTCAGTCCCAGGGTGCTGTGTGTGTGGAGGGGAGGGGGGTCTTGTAGAGTTTCCAACACCCTGTTGCACACAATTTTTATTTTGGAAGCATGAAGTTTGGCCCCAGGAGCCCGGAACAACAGGTAATTTCCTTCTGGATGTTCTGTGCACTCAATATTTCGAGATAGGTCTAACCAATTTACTGTTGGAATTGGCCCTCAAGCAGGATAAGTCATGTTTTAGAGGCCACTTCCCCTCGCTGCTTGTCCTGGATTTCAGTAACATCAGCCACATCACATTTGGCTTTGACAAGCAGAGCACTGCAAGCATTCAAAGCAGCTCTCTGGTAGGACTGTGTATGGCTCCCCTATCCCCAAATCATTTAACGGAACCTATTATTACAGCTCCCTAGCATCCCACTCTTCATGCAGCTTTGGCCAGTGCAGCTAAAGTAATCTTTGCACTTCCTGGCCTGATCAAAGAAAGGAATTTCTTTGCTGGCTTGGCACCAATTAATACAGAGAACATCAGCCAGACAAGTGCTGGGTGGGAATATTCCAGCAACGTGGAGTGTTTCCAGACAACATCAATTTCTCAAATCCAAACATTTGAGGATCATTCATTGTCATTCAGGACAGATTCCAGGTAAGAGCTCTCAGATTCTGCCAATCTAGAGCATCCACGGTCTGGGGTCTGCAAGCCCTTGGATAGTGTGAGGCAGGGCTGCCCTGAGGCCATAGATGCTGGGGGTCTCGGCTGCTGCTGAATAAAACTGATAGTGGTTCTTGTCTGTTTCCTAGCTGCCAGTGGTGAAATGGACTAGAATTGGGATGATCTCTGTCAGCCACTGCCAGGGTCCCAGGGAACACATTTTGTTTTTTTAAAGGTAGTTTATGGGAGGACTGCGAAATGGGCAGTGCAGCAGGAGGCCAGCTTGCGGGTCATCATAAATGTGATGGCCTTGGCCATCCACCAGGCAGAAATGCTGGGCATAGTTGTGTTTCTGCCCTCCCCCTGGAGAGGCTGAGCAATTGTGTGTTTGTGGCACCCTAGAGAACGTTTTCCTATGTTCATTTTCAGGGGCAGACATGGATTTAGGGGAATATTACTTCACAAGTGATTATTATTGGTGTAATAATTTATGGCAGTCTTTTGGTAAGAGGGTATAACAGGTCATTGTACTACCAACTTGTTCCATGGTGTTCCTTTCCCTTCCACATGGCGGGGAGGTGCCCTCTTATCTCATCTCCTCTCCCATCCCCCCCACATACTCACCACATAAAATGCTTGGTAACCAGAGCAACTGCTTTCACAGAAGAGAAAAGCTCCATTCATCACTCTCCCATCATGTGTTCTCTTGTAACATGTGGTCACATGAGAGACAACACTGAGAACCACTGATCCAGAATGATCAATAATAAACTCTTAAATTCACCCAGCTGCCCTAACCTGCCCTCCCCACCTCACAGTGTTGAACAGAGGCACAATTGGAAACCATCCAAAGTGTCCACTGTGTCTTGGTGCATTGGGGGAGGAGGGGAGGGATACATTCAAATGGAAAGAAACCTAAGTTGGTGTCACAAACTTCCCTTTTGCAACCCTTTGTCTGAACTGTACAGTGTAAAGTGGAGTGCAGAGAAGAGAGGACTTTGTCTATCCAGGTAGCACAGTCTTCAATTGTGATGAACAATTCACTTGCTCTGGCTTTACAAAATCACTGCCAGATTTAGATTGAAGCTAAAAAGAGCAATTTTTACAGATTCATTTTCACTTTTCAGTCTCTTTTGAGCTTTTATTTAATAGCTAGCCAAATAACCCATCATAAGATGGGATTTTCAGGTCTCTCCTCCATGTTGGTCTTCTCTCCTGAGCCTCCAGTCTCTCGCTCCGTCTCTC